CTCACTATGAGCCAATCAGATGATGACACATTTGGCACACGCTACCCGTGTGCACTTTACCTACTTATGTAATAACTAAAGAAATACCTACCTACTTATGTAATTGGAGTTGGGCCCATTACAATGCGTGTGCTCCACGCGGGAGCTTCACCACCTTCCACACACCATTCTGCTCGAGAGCCTACAGCTCCTCCGCGATGGGCCTCAGCCACCGCGACCGGTGTCGACTCTTCATTGCCTCTCGGTAGTTCCTTGGGTCCGGCTCCACTAAACTGTTCACCACGTCGGGCGGAGTCTCCTCCTGACCTTCCAGGTTTAAGCCGACTCCCCCTGACCGTTGAACTACGGACCGCGTAACTGGGCGATCCCTAGTCCAGTTCTTCTTCTTCCTTTTGGAGCGCTTCTTAGCGCTCTCACTCGCATTCCCTGCCTCGGCAGGTGCCACACCGCCCTCGGGCGTCTTCTTAGCAGCTTCCGACTCCTCCTGAGGTACGTCCTCGTCGTCTTGCAGGTACAGTCGCTGCACTTTCTCGTTCTGATCTTTGTTGAGCGTCTCTATGTTCTTCACGTGTTGTGTCACGATCACGACCTTGTCCTTTGGCAAGTAAACCCTGTAGCCCTTTGTTTCCTCTCCGATTCCGACAATCATGCCTGCCTGCGCTCTCTGTGCAAAGTTTTGTTTCCGCGGGTCCCTGTAAACAGTACATGGGGACCCGAAAACAACTATCTCCCCTAGCTGCGGCGTCTGCTTCGTCAGTACTTTAATCGGTGACGCACGCCCTGGGTTGGAGCTGGTTGGGGACCGGTTCAAAATGTACGCCGCGTATCTAACAGCATCTCCCCAGAAACTGAGAGGAAGCCCGCAGGCAAACACCATGCATCTGGCCATATTCATAATGGTCCAGTGCATCCTCTCAGCCTTTCCGTTGCTTGCTTGGTTTCGCGCCTCGCTGCGCTGTCGTGCGACACCAGTTCTCTTGCAAAACAAATCTACGTTTTCGTACTCACCTCCGGAATCCGTTCGTAAGACGTGAATCCTGCAGTCGAACCGTTTCTCGAAGTAGACGAGGAACCCCTCCAACTTTCTTGCCGCTACATCCTTCGTCTTGGCGAGAAATACCCCACAATAGTTCAACTTGTGGTCGACAAAGTTTATCATATATCTGTTACCCAGGCGATCTTTCGGGGTCATGGGTCCTTTAAGCTCGGAACAGATCACGCCTCCCACACGATCTGTGGGAGCATGCTATCCAGAGTCCTTGCTCGATTGTCTGTTCTTCGTCTGCTTGCCCTCGGCACAAGTCAGACAGTTCACTCTCCGTCGATCGGTCAGTTCGATGCCGGAGCTTGGCTCGCGTGCCAGCCGCTCCACGGCATCATGATTCAGGTGCCCGAGAACGTCGATGAAACTT